AGATGGGAATGTGTATAGAAGTGTATAGTATCCCCACACCTTTGTTGGAGCCCATGAAACACATGGCTACGACGCAGCGCCTTTTGGTTCAACGAGGAAAAGCGTGACCGCTTAGAGTTGTACTGTTTAACTGCCTTTAAGACTTTGAGCCTTGGGCGCACCTGCACTGCAGTTTACAGTCGGACGAACACCTCGCAAGCGAAAAAAGCGACTGGTCAGCTCAGCAGAGGATGCACAGCTTTCTTGCAGCACCGCGCTGCCGACCGGGTACGCATTACCCTCGCACAGCTGGCGTCGACATCGCGCAGCATTATGCTTTAGTCTTGTAGCCCTGTTTCGCAGACTGGGCGGGGCAATCTCGTTGAAGCACAGGCTGCAATGCTTCGTTGATAAGAAAAACGTGCACGATTATCCGCAACCGCCGTGCAGCTTCTGACTATATTCCTGCCAGCTATGCTACGCAACCTCGCGTGGTGAGAGGGACAACAGACAGAGGTTGCTTGGATGCCGCTAAAGTGGGGGTAGCAGCTCGACATCGCTTGCCCCGATCTACCCGGTGAGCAATGCTTCGCTCAGCACTGCATCCAAGCAACCTCCGCCAAAAAGATGAGTGCATGAAACCTTTTCTGTATTTTCATCCCTCTTTCTCTCTGTTTCGCTGCGGTAGTAGAAACTTAGAAAACCCAGTTCCCCCTCCTTTGGCCTAATTTCACAAGTTGCTCACGATTTTTTTTTGGAAAATTTAACTCAGTCTTACGCTCCAAGAAAAAGCGACGCGCCCCCCGCGGACAAGGTCCCAGCTGAACTTCCGATTTTATCCCTTGGACCTCGATAACCACTGGTTCTCCACGGGTGAGGCTCCTGCCAGCTAGTTGCATTCAGAAGATGTTATGCCGGATGGAAATGACCAAATAGACTCCAAGCCTCTAAGCTCCTTTCAAATAATTTCCCTAACCAAGTATGCGTTTCTTATACAAAAAAGCTCGCCGCTCACTTCGGTCATCGATTACGCAGCGCTCAATTCGGGTTCCGTGCCTCGACGAGTCGAACAGTCTGAACCATTGAGTGAGCCTTTCATATCTTTCACATATCCGGAATGTATGTTTGAACCATTGTGAGAGATAACATATGGCCCGCCGGCAGTGCAGGCGACTCATACAGACTCATACCTGTCACGAGTTTCCGGACATGTTATATGCGGAAGCAAAAGGTTGTGTCAACGGTGGGAAAGGGACGAAGCGAGGTTTCGTGAAATTCGCGGCAAAACACAGTAGTCGTGAGATGTCGACGTTCAGGCGGGGGCTTTTAGACAATCTGCTCGACGGCCTCCAGTTCTTGACTTGAGCGCTTGAGAATCTTACAGCTCAAAGCTGGACAAGCCAGCGTTGCTCGTGGGGGCAGATGCAGCATCCCTGCGATGTTTCCGGGAAAGGCACACAAAATGTCAGGGAGTCTGACACGTCTACGCGCTTGAGTTGGCTTGAAGGTGCCAGGAAGTGACCCATGGCAGTGGCCCTTTTTCTGGTGAGGCAAGGGTGGAAAGCATAACTCCCAGGTCCCGTTATTTCTCTTTCGTGTTTTCGAAGGTTTGTGTGGCTCCTTGCGCTGGCCCGGGGGCTCGAAGCACTGGGCTTGCACTTTCCGTTTTCACTCGCGGACATGAGGCCAATGCTTTGCCTTCTTCGGTGGTGGTCCACGGGCGCTGTGCCCTCAGTCTTAAAGGACAGCTCTGCTTCAATTCTTGCACTGTTGGCAGGCTTGCAATGCTTGAACCCGTCTCCCTGTTCTAAGTCACGAAGTATTGGCTTCATGACAGTTCCTCATGTTGCTGTGGTGATGACGATACGATGACAACGATGTGTCAGCTGAGGTCAGGGCCGCAACAGCAACATCAACGGCCAGCACTGACGAGAGCAAAACAAGGCAGTAGCTTGTTTGATCCCTGAACAGGTGTGTACATAAGAGACTACGCGTGGCGTCACAGCTGGAGACTTACTTCGCATTCGTCTGCACGACAAGCTCTCAAAAGGACCTTGGTTGAACAGGCCTGTGTTGGAGACGTGCTGGTCATGCTGGCAGCGGTGGTCAGGTGTTCCTGTACTTCGAGGGTGCCCCTGGGCGCGCACGCGTTCCTTATAAGCGCTCGCACGCTGTTTGCAAGAGGAGAGTGGCGCATGGGGCCTTCACCGGAAGATGGCAGTGCCTGGCCCTCGACGTGCTGTCTCGCTGTGCTTGTTGGGCCTTTGCGCTTTTTGGAGGTTTGGGCTTTTGCTCGCAGCCTTGCCTCGTCACCTTTGCTCATTGACCAACCTTGGCAGGACAGACGTTTAAGAGAAGTGCCTACAAGCATAGCACTGACGTGTGGCGAAGTGTGGTGGCTCTAGGTGTGGGATGGCCAGCGTGTCGTTCAAGATCCGCAGCTCCGAGTTAGCGACACGTCCTTGGTCCCACAGGCCCCCTTTCCGGTGCCCTGTTTCTGGAGTTTCACAACATGTCCATGCCTGGACGAATGCCAGTGGCAGTGCTGAGCAGGTCCTTCTCTTGTCCTTTGGGGAGGGCAGCCCGCTGGCCTGGGCCCCGAAGGGCAGGGCCTCACAAAGCTCGCAGGGCGGCGCAGATTTCGCCTTCGCCGCTTTCGCCTTCAGGAGCTCGCTGCACTGCAGGGGATGCTGATGCAGCAGCCCGGCTTGCCCAGGGCTCAGATCAGATCGGAGTCGGAGAGGCGGCCAGATCTCCTACTTTCGAGGTGGGACGGCAGGCCCTACTACAAGCACATGCAGCAGGCGGCGTTTTCTCCCGACGGTAGAGCTTCAGAGCCGCTTCCCTCTCGGCTTCAAACTAACCGCCTCTCTCTCTCTCTCTCTCTCGCTGCGCGCTCGCCGCGCGTCTGCGCGCGCTGTGCTGTGCAGGAGCTCTTCCTCCTCTGCTCTCTGGCCGAGGGATGGCGCCTGGGACCGCTGCCTCTCGGAGAGAAGCCTCCAAGGCGGGGCGGCCCTGCGGCAGGGCCCTTTTTTTTGTTGCCTTTTCGTCACCTGTAGAGGCCCCTGCTCTTCTCACGCAGCGGGGAGCTCGCAGTGTTACTGGAGTTTCCGGGCCCCCTGCTCTGCTTTGCGTCGAGGCGCTGCCGCATTGCCACAGGAGATCGCCGCAGCCTCTGGCAAGGAGAGAGCCGAGTCAGGCCGAGTCCCTCTGGCGCTTTTCTGGCGTTGAGGTGGAGAGTTGGAGAGTCCCGAGCCTTGGGCCCGGAGGCGGGGGACCGGCGTAAAAAGAAGAGACTCGCCGAAGACCTGGTTTAAGAACTTTGGACAGGCGCCGACGAGCTCCCTGCGGCTGCTGTGAGGCCGGAGATTGGAGGGTCTGAGCTGCCAGAGTACGATACGGGCGTCCCAGGCTTGCTGCGATGGATTTCGGGCCACAGAGGCAGCAGCCGAATCAGCCGAGGCCACGGGGAGGGCAGAAAGAGCTTTCGGAGTGTTTGGCAACCTTTGGCACCCTTCGAGGCACCTGGTCATAGAAGGCGTCTCTTCCGGCAACGGATCCGCCAACGGAGTGTGCGCGGAAGCAGTCTCTCTGCCAGCAGAGGGCGCTCGGAGTGGGTCGGTTTCGGGTTTTGCGCAAGTGCTATGTAGGTACAGGCTCGCCTCGGAGAGCTGGAATTTGAAGCCCCTGCCGCAAGCTCGGCATGGGAGAGACGCAAGGGAGTGCCGGCTAAGAAGCGGTGCCTCTGAGGTATCACAAGACAGATGCCATCCGCACAGCATCGCCAGAGCCCCAGCTCCGAGGATTGCTCCCCAAAAAGCGGCCTAGTGGCATCCTGCGAGGCTCTGGTATGCAGCCGGCGATTGGCGCATCGGACCGTCCATCGAAGATGGAAGGGTTTGGGTCAGACGCCTTTTACTTCTCAAAAGGTCAGAGCGATTCGTCTTCGACTTTCCCAGCCAAGGTCTATGCCACTGCGGAGTCAGCTTCGAATGTTGACGCGACATGGTTTTCTTTTGCTGGCCTTGTCGAGGAGCTCCGGCATCGGGTCGTCGTACTTTGGCCCGTGTTTTCAGTGTTTTCTTCGTGCATGCAGGAGGTCCGTGTGGTTGATGCGGCAACTGCCCTTGCCTCATCCTTGCTTGTCAGAGTCTTAGGATCAGGCCAATGCTTTTGCCCAAGGCAATTCCCAGCAGCGTCAGCATCGGTGGGACAGAATTTGCCACGCACTTGGAGCAGAAGTTTTCGGCAGAGGTCGTGCCGTTCTCATGGCTCAGGTGCAGGAGTCACGCCTTTGTGATGCCCGTCCAGTGTATGTTGCGACAGGCCTCGAGGAGCATGGGCTGAGGGTGCATGTGGACTATCCATGTCTGACACTGTGGCTTGGCCGTGCCATAACCGAGGAGGGCAACAGGTCAGAGGACGGCTCGGGCTCGGGCGGTGGAATGAAGGCGGGTCGCCTTCGGATCGCTTTTCCTGCGACGGGTGCTGGCAGAGGTCTACCTCTATTTCCGTGCGCAAGAGTCCGAGTGGTGGTTGGGCCCAGAGGCAGGCGCCGCAAAGCGAGGAAACGGGAAACAACGGGAAACCCAGTGCTTTCTGAGAGGTTGGAGGCAGGGAATGCCTGGCCCGGGCCACGGGGCCCGGTGCTCGGATGAGAGCCCGCTCTGCTTGCTGGGATCTTCTTTCGCTCTGAGGTCGCTCCTCTCCGTGGTGCCCACAGCCGCCTTGCAATTTCGCATGGAGCCGCCGCGGGACGCCGCCGCGGGCGCCGCGGGCGCCGCGACGACCGGTTCGGGCGCCCCAGGCCCCACGCGTTGTGTGCGAGCGCGCGCCGCGCGCCTCTCCCCCCTTTGTCTTCCTTCTTTGGATCGCGTTTGCGTTTCTGCTGCAGATCCGGAGCTTGGGAGCGGCGATCTGCGGGGATCCCGAGCTGCTCGGGAGGGCTTTTCTTCGTTTTCTGAGAGCCGAGGCCGCCAATAAAAGCGAAGGTGCCGACTTGGCTTCCTTTGGCACGCCGGCCAAGTAGGCAGCGATGCAGAGCGCGCAGAGCGCGATGCACCTCAGCTGAGGTCTGTTCTCTCGCGACAGCTGCTGCCTGGTTACTCTTGCTTCGACCGTTAAGAAGCCACTTGGCGAACACAGGCTTTTGAGATCCGACGGAGTGAAAAACTGGCCCCGAAGGCGAAGCGGTTTCCACGAAGGAAAAGCCGGGAGCTCTGCCAAATTCTCCGGCTGAGCAGGCGCCGCGCTTACGCTCAGAAGTGAAGCAAAACAAAGCTGAGGCCCGCGGCGCTCGCTTGCGTCGTCTGCCTCGAGGCACGCCCCCGCGGACTCCGCAGACTCCGCAGTCGCTGCGCCGCTTTTTCTGCCCCTCTCTGCCCCCCGTTCTGTCGGGTCTAGGCGCCTCGAACGATCCTCTTGATGCCGTGCCGGCACGTGTGCTGCTGCAAGGCACCACAGGGCCGGGGGCGAACCTCTTACATCGCTGCGTCGCTGCGCAGGACTGCGCAGAGCGCCTGGATCGTTGCCCCATGTGCTCGAGGCTTAAAACGAGCATCAGACTTTAAAATGTAAATTGCATTGACTCCCGGAGAGTCGGTCTCAGACAGAGCGCTGCCCGCACAGAACCGAGGCCGAACGGAGACCACCAGCCTGGCAGAAGTTTTTTTGTAGCCGCCGCCCTCCAGGCACCATTTTCCCCCGACGCGCAGGCTCTTTTTGTGGGAGACGGGAGACGGAGTCCTCAACGCTGATCTCCTAGCGGTCCTAGCATCTTTGCTCATCCCCTCCTGCTTGGAGCTTGCAGTGCAGTTTCACCGCTGTGTGCCTCTTGGCAGATTTGTGCAAAGAAGGTTTTGAGATGCTCAGCTCCGGGCAGGGCGCAGCCCATGCAATGGGCACGCCGAAGGCTGATGGTAGGATCGTGGCAAGAACAGGGAGTGACTGTATGGAAAGCAGCGCATGCTGTGGACTCGCGGATGGGACGCTCTTGCCTGTATTGAGCTGGTCACATTCACATTCTCATTATTTCCCGGGACCGATGCTGAGGCAAGTCGAGTTTCACCATTTGAAACCTTGCCTTTAAGCATAGCTTGGTGAGGAGTGCCGTGGAGTGCCATGCCGTCGCGACAAGTGGGAAAAGCGGGATTTTGAAGACCTTTTCTCTGCGCCGATTGCGAAGATGCTTTCGAGCAGCTTCGACTTGCATTTCAACGAATGCTTTCCATCCCGAAGCCATGTCAAAATGTCGGTTGATGAGGCCAGCACAACATGACAACATGGGCTTAACAAACCAGCTCAAGTACAAGTAGAACTTGTTTGTCTATGCACTGAAAGCTCCTTCAGGGATGTAGCAGGTCGAGAAGGCGCCATGCGCGGCATTCCCCATGCCTTGAAGTCTCGTCAGAAGCGGCTGCATCAGGCACTTGCCCTCTTTTCCCCTCTTTCTTGCTGTCTGCTGCATGGTTGCCTATAGTCCCTGTCCTTGTCCTTCAGGTGGCGCTTGTGCTGATTCTGGTTTGGGCAAGCAGGTGGCGAAGCAGGGCGGATCCTCAATGCCGGTGCACGGCCTTCATTGGCAGCAACCCACGGACCGCAGGCCCCCGGGCTCTGGGAAGTCTCTTGGAGAAGGCCCCTTTTCTCTAAAAAAATCCCTGTGTTTTGAAAAGGAGGAGGAGGCCGCCTTCGCTTGGCGTCGCCGCGTCCTTGCCCTGGTCCTCGGGTCAAAGAGGCCCCCCTTTTCTGTGAGGGAAGCTGATCTAAATGCCCCCCCCCCCTTCCCCCCCCCTCAAACAAAATTTCCCGGAGGCAACTCGAGAAGGCGAGCTGAGGGTGCTCCTGGTCTCGCAGTTCCCGGTCTTCGTGGCGGTGGGTGCCTTGATCCCCGTCCTGCCGCTGCCCCCCGGCGCCCGAAGTAAACCTTTCCAGACGCCCCTAAAAGGGGGGGGGGGCGACGGACGGTCGCTGCAGCCAAGGTATGGAGAGGAATTCGGTCTCTCCCAAAGTTCCGTGGGGCCGCTTAGCAGTGATTCAGCAGCCTGGCAAGGGGCGGCTGTCCGTTTTGGGCTCTCGAGGTTGCTCGTGTCGTCGCCATCTCTTGCAAAGCTTGTGTTGAACCTACCCTTCGGCAAGCTCGCTGACACTCTTGGCCGCCGCTCTCCCAGCTTCCACTTGAGACGTGCGCCGAATCGAGTCAACTGTGGTGATTGAAGGCCGATCTCTGATGGTTGGCGGTATGGTCCTGTGTGCGGCTGCAGACGTCGGCACCGGTCTGGCTGCATGTCAGCACAAATCACGCCCAGCACTTTGTGTATGCAATCGTGTTCGAGGCCTCGTCTTTGCCTTTTCTGATCTTGGCACGGCTTTTGCTGGGCGCGGGGCTTTCCAGCTCCGATGCCGGCGCTTCTGCTTGGGTGGCCGATGCCACAGAGCCCCGATTTGCAGCACAGAAAGTCTAAAGAAGCATGCAGCATGTGGCACCAAGCTGGAGCAAACTCAAGGAAAGGCGAGAGGTATGCGGGTCATGTGCATGTCGGTATTTGATTATTTTGCTCTGAGGAAAGCCAGCCAGAGTCTCGAGCGTCTTTCTTGGGCGCATCTTGGACTTTAAAAGCATTTTTCCGAGAGGCTTCCAGGCTTGAGTAGCAATGTGGCTCGAAGTTTCTGGCAGAAGCTGAGGTGCAGAACGCCCTAACTGCTCTGGCCTTCGTCCTTGGCCCGGCAGCCGCCTGGCATGTTGATCTGAACACCGAATCAGTGGTTGGCCGACCCGAGCCGTTTCTGCGAAGGTTGGCGGCTGGCTGGTTCAAGAATTTGGTTTGCGCTCCATCTTCTTTGCCGTCGCTGCAGGCCACAGTGCGCACAACACTCTCTGCAGACCCCGGCACCCCCCAGGAGCCGCCGCCTGTGCGGGCGGCTACGCGCTCCTCCCGGAGCTCCGGACTGCAACACCCGGTGAAGCCGAGCAAGAGAAGTCCTTCCAGGAACCTTCATCGCCAGTGAAGTAGTGAAGTTGCTCTTCCGGCGCTTTGGTGGCTGACAGGAGCTGTTGCAGGTGCCAGAACAGCAGGCTTTAGCTGGAATTTCGGTGGCCTTCTACGCCGGAACTGCCCTTCGACTTGAAAACCTTGGTATTTCATACGGTCCCCATACGGATTTGTACATGTTGGGGAGCCCTTGCCAAGCTGAGGCCTGCAAGATCTCCCTCCTCCCCAGTGTCGCGTCGGAAGCCTTCGGCGCGGGGCCGGGAGAGGTCGGACAGATCTTCTCGGGCCTGGCAGCCCTGGCCATCGGCGGCCCCTTGCCAGCGACAGAATAGCTCTCAGCTCTGCCCTTTTTCAAGGGATATATATCTCAACCCCTGAGCCTTATAAGAAGGGGATCTCTCAGCCCCACTAAGCCCACAATGAATCCTCGAAAAATGCTAATGCGTCAAGTCCCCAAGTAACAAAAGTAACTAAAGTTAGACAATGAAGGCACTCTTGCGGGTGGGCGGCTCACCGATGCTCTCGGCCCGAAGTCGGTGCTCCTCTCTTGCGGCCCGGACCCCGGCTGGTGACTGTGCTGGTGCAGGTGGCAGGTGGCGGTTGACCGGCGTAGTCGTAGTGGGTGACAGCTGCAGGAGGAGCAGCGAGCAGGAGGAGTAGGATCAGGAGGAGCGCGAGCAGCAGGAGCAGGAGGCAGGGGCAGTGGCAGTTTCAGCAGCAGTAGAAGCAGCAGCGTTAGGGCAGGGGGCTATAAGTTTTCGACCGCAACAGTGGTGGCAATCGTTGTGGTCGTCATCTTCGTAATCGTGGTCGTGGTCGCCGTCAGCGCCGAGAGGGCTGTAGTTGATAGTTGATAACACTGCAATGCCGCACCCATGCCAGCTATGCTTTTGCGTTCGCCACCAACACTGACCTGCCATCCATGCTTCTATCACAAAATTCTTGCTGTCACTCTCCTTGCTAAAGCACACATCTTCAGACTTTTCAGAAGCTTCCCCAAAACGCGCATGGGCATGGCTTGAATCTTGCAGAGCACAAGGCTCCATCTGCACGCTGGCCTACGTGGGCGCGGCCCTGGCCACGGGGGCCCACGCCAAGGCCCAGAGCGGGGGGCTCCAAAAGCGAGGAGAGGAGGGGAGGGAGGCGCCTCCTTTCCTGCAGCGCCGTGCCTTTTCAGGAGGCCTTCCTGGGCTTCCTGGCGCTCTGGGCGGTGGCGGCCGCCGTGAAGTCTCCCGCGCTCCAGGCCTACGCCATCGCCACTTCCCCGGAGGACCGGAAGGGGCAGTCAAGAGCCTTAAAGGGAGAGTCGGAGAATCAGGGGCATCTCAGGACCAGCGTGGTGCAGCTTTGAGTGTTCCGAAGACCGTTGGCCTGGCCCCAAGGCGAAAACATCACCATCCGAGCGTCCGTCTGCCTGTGTGTTGGCAGCCGAGGCGACCTCAGCTATCTCATCGCCCCGTTCTTGTTGGGGACCTTGGACGACAGCTTCGGACCCGAGGCGAGGCCCCCGTCGCCGCTGTCGCTGCGTTCACTTCACTACCCGATGAGGCGGCGCTGCTCTGCTGCGTCGCCTGGCGACGAGAAGCGCTCCGTGTCCAAGAAGGCTGTGACTTCTGCTGGAAAAGCTGAGGCTGGGACTTTCTTCGCCGGCACCGCCTGGTTCGCGCCTCTTGGCACAGACAAAGTCCAACAGACTCCGCTTGCTTCACGGGAAGAGAGTCCCAGAGAGTCCCGTAGCCGAGGCTGCGGAGCTAAGCCGCTGCCGAACCGCCGAACCCCCGCGGCCCGCGAAAGTGGGATCCGTCGTGCCAGTCACAGCTGAAAGCCGGGCAGTGACTGGCAGCCGCAGAAAAAGTCTTGTGTGGCGGGCAACGCAAGGGTCGCGTGTCTGACTCTGCAACTGCAGCTGGGCAATGGTATATTCAACCGCAGAGACCTCTGCCATCTTCTGCCGCGCTTCCTTGCTCAAGCCTTGGGCGGAGTGTCGTGCTGGGGCGTTTTGGGGCCGCCGAACACATCTCTGGCAAAGCCACCGATGCGTTCGTCAAGGCCAAGCGCCTGCTCCGTTCCTCTTCTCTCGCTTTGTTGGCACAGAGAGAAGAACTAGAGAAGTGTCTCCCGTGGAGCGCAGGTCGCTGCCCTCCTGCAGATCGGGGCCGCAGGACCGGAGAGCAGCTCTGTTCTTCTATCGGGCTCTGTGCCCCAACTCGACACTCTTTGAGGAAAGTCTCTCTGACTTTATGGTCTCCTGTTTTTCCGGCTCAGCTTTCAGCTTTCTGCCACGCAATGTCGAAAGTCGCCGAGCGCGTTCGGAGGGAGTGTGCCTGGGCTCGGACATCTCTGCTGCTTTTTGGAGAGGGAGTGCGAACTGAGGGGAGGGACGCGCGCCGAAAGCTTCCCTATACTTAACTTACACTTAGGCTCGAAGCTTCGAGAGTCGGGGCTACGACTGCCGATCCTGGCCCTCCAGGCCACCTCCATTGGACTCCATTGGGGCTGGGGCTCCCGCAGATTCCATGAAAACTCCACACACCCGCTTTGAGGAGGCGGCGGACTACCGAAGCCTGCGGGCCGAGATCCGCGGCCCAAGTGGAAGCCCTTTTGAGGGCCACAGCTTCGGGCTCCTGTTGCCGGGCTGCAGGCTGTTGGCTTCGTGAGGTTAAGCCAACGCCAACTCTGAGGTTGCAC